TTCCGAAATCGGGTTGGAGTGGGCAGCCTCAAGAACTAATTCTAAACAATCAGAATGACCATAGTAGGCTGCATAGTGCAAGCATGTTCTTCCATTCACCGAATCAAACATCAAGATCTGAACGTAAGGGAAAATTAAAAGTTTGTCGATCGATGAAAGCGGATAACAGAGAAACGCAGAAGAAGATAGAAAAGAAAGCCTACGTTTGCTCCCGCCTGAAGGAGTTTCTCCACGCAAGCAATCTTCCCACACATTGCGGCCAGCATAAGAGGACTCTTCGGAGAAAAATCACGGACATATCAGATTTTGATTGCAGAATTATGAAAAAGATTCGATTTTTTCGTCTCCTGTTTCTTGTTTGTGCCGGTTGAGAACATCGGGGTGATTCCATTGCTCCAAAAGCATTGAAAGCATCTGAAAATAATGTTAACGAAGCTATCAAGGATTGAATAGAAAAATGAGAAACGAACCGCCTTTAGAAAGATCTCGTCAATAAAAAAGGGAAACCTCGTCGTGCCCATTTGCAGCGGCGATGTGGAGGGAGGAGAGGCGGCCGTAAGCGGTAGTTTTCTTGATTATTCCGGGGTCTATGATACGTTTCACTAATTGGAGCTCGCCGAAATTAAGTCCTCTCGATTGAAGCCGAACAGCACGACGAAGCTTCGCTTTTCTCTCGATTGAAGCCGAACAGCACGACGAAGCTACGCTTTTCTTCCGATGAATTTATAACCCACTCGAATCGAGCGGGTTTCTAATTCCCGCAAAACAGCCTCCATAATACACTCCTAACGCATCCGACGATTACCTTTTGTTCCGCTCAAAATTAACCAAACAACCAAATTTAGTAAATACAGGTATTTGTTTTACTTTACACTCTTAATTCAGGCAACCAAACAACCCCTTAAAGAAATATTTTAAATTGTTGATCAAACTTGAAAATTTTACATGATCGTTCTTTCCATTGGATGTTGGTAAATAACTGAATCCCATTGCTTTCATGTTGTAATTGTCTAGAGCTATCACTTACCAGACTCTGTTTCTATTTATTAATTTTTTTAATCAACCAAATTATTTGTCTTACTTTGATTTGACATGATTTAATCATAAGTTTTGATACTAATTTAATGCTGTACACTTAGTTGTTTAGTGTTCTTAATTTAATTAGTATTTTCCTATGAATATAAATCACAAAAAAGGTAGGATTCACGCTTCAATAAATAACCTTCTTTAGGTGTAAATTTGAAATTTTTTAAATTAAACAAGACAGGTAATCAATGATTGCTTAGATGTGAAGAAGTCAACTAGAAATTTGAACCAAGAAAAATCAATATACAATTGGAAATATAGACAACAATTGAAATTTCAGTTGTATAGAACAAGGTTTAAAATTGCGTAAATAAGCCTCGAGGCTTTTTTCGTTTGTGAGGCGAGGCGTAAGCCTCGAGGCGGTGTGAGGC